CTCTGGCTTCCAGTATTCCTGCTGAAGAGTAAATTAGTCCTGTTGTTGGTCATTTGAAGGTTATTTGTCTCTTATGTCTGACTGCTTTTCCCCCCACTCTTCTGATTATATTTTGCTTTCAGAAATTCAACTTTGATGGGCCTAGATATAATTTTAATTTAAAAAATATTGTTATTATTTTAAATGTGTGTGTGTGTGTGTGTATGAGTGTGTGTGTGTGTGTGAGTGTGTGTGTGAATGTGTGTGTGAGTATGTGTGTGTGTATGTGTGTGTGTGTGTGTGTGTGTGTGTGTAGGGTGTATGTGAATATGGGTGCATGCCGTAGCTTGGGTGTGCAAGTCAGGAGACACCTTTCAGGGGTCAGTTCTCTGCTTCCAAGTTGGTTTCTAGAAATTAAACTCAGTGCTTTATCCACTTTTATCTATCTCACAACCTAGATGTAATTCGATGTTAATTGTATTTGGTCTGGGGTTTATAGTGCAACTTTCCTGTGGCTTGATATCTTTTAATTGATCTAATGACAGTATCAAATATGATTGTTGTAGCTGACTGTGCTGAGGAGTTTTATGTCAGCCAGATATAAGCTAGAGCCATTGGGAAAAGGGAATCTCAACTGAGAAAATGCTGCTAGCAGTTGGGTCTGAAGCCAAGATTATGGTGCATTTTTTTTCCATTAGCATTGGTTTTGGAGGGCTTAGCTCACTGTGAACTGTGCCACTACTGGGCAAGTGATCTTGGGTTCTATGAGAAAGCAGGCTGAGCGAGCCAAGGGAGAAAGCCTATAAGCAACACTCATCAATGGTCACCACAGCAGTTTCTGTCTCATTTTCCTGCCTTGAGCTCTTGCCCTGACCTCCTTGAATGATGGATACAAGCTATACATAAAACAAATCCTTTCTTCCCCAGGTCAATTTTGGTCATGGTGTTTTATTGCAGCAATAGAAACTCAACTAATACATTGAGTTTCTATGTTATGACAAAAATACATGAGATAAACAGATTAGAGGAGAAAGGTTGATTTTGTTCAGTGTGTAAAAAGTTTCAGTCAGTACCCAGCTGACTCTGTTTCTTCCGGGTAGTCAGTGAGATAAAACATAGTGGGGAAGTTCCTAGAGCAGCTTAGAATATAGTTGAGACTTTTGCTGTGGTGTCTGTGTCCTGTTAACATTGCTCTGCTACGCTCAGTAGCTGTCTGTCTGTCTATCTGTCTGTCTGTCTGTCATCATGTATCTATCATCTGTCACATCTTTTGTTCTTGCTGAAAGTTGTGCTGATAATTAGCAGGTCGATCTCTGCCATAGCTGAACATTGAATTAATAACGTTTGTGTCCATGAATGTATGTGATGTTTGTGTGTTTGTATTTGTATGCGCAGATACAAGCAGAATTCAGAAGTCAATGTTAGGTGGTCTCCTCAGTTCCTCTCCATTTTTATTATTTATTCTTTTAGAGACAGAGTCTCTTCTGAACCTGGAGCTTATCAATTCATTTGGCTGGGCCTGCCTATCTCCATCCCAGTACTGTGGTTAAGGACACATTCTAACCCTCCTGGCTTTTCCATGGTTGGTAGGATCTGAACTCAGAACTGTATGTTTTGCATAATAAATTAGATTACCAACTGAACCATCTCTCCATCTTCTGTTAATTTTTTAATTTAATTTTATATTTTTACTTAATCCCTTTATATCCTACTCACTGCCCCCTTCCTGGTTACCCCCTCCCAAATCCTTCTGCCTCCCGCTCCCTGTCTCCTCTGAGGCCCCTGGGTATCCCCCATCCTGGTACTTCAAGTCTCTGTAAGGCTAGGTGCTTTCTATCCCACTGAGGCTAGACAAGGCAGCCCAGCTAGAAGAACACATCCCAAGGACCGGCAACAGCTTTTGGGGCAGCTCCAACTCTAGGTGTTCAGGACCCACATGAAGACCAACCCAATTGCATTCTTAATGGCTGCTATATGTGTCCTGTGTAAGTGTTTGAAAAAAAAATGTGTCCAATGTAGTTTGCATGAATACAAGTATCCTGGGAGTAGGAAGGAAGATTCATGTGAACTGTATGACAATCAGGACCTGGGAGGAACTTCTGGTTTATGGATAAGTTGTAAGTAGCTTGAGAAGAGACTAAGTAAAGCTGGAGGAGAAAATTTGTTCTGCTCTTTAAGGAAAAGCTGACAGAAATACGAGACAATAATACTGACTTATTTCATAAATGGATCTATGCAAGAGAAGACAGATACTGTTAAAAAAATGCTGAGTAGTATATTATAAAATACTGATTTCCTCTATAGACAGAGGGTATTTCTCAGCATTTCTATAGGATGTTCATAGAAGTCAGTATAAAGAGAAATACATTAAAACTTTTGTTGAAATACCGCTTTTATGTATTTGTTTACTGGCAGACGTTTTTGAACTTTTAAGTTATGGTTTGTGAACTTCCAAAGTTGGTTAAACTCAGGACACTTTACATAAGTGTTGCTTCTAAGAATACATGTTGGAGAGTTAGAGTGTGTGGGCACCGAGGAAACCTAAATCGGAAATCTACACAAGCACAGGCAGTCCACTGATGATGTACACAAGCACAGGC